TCCCCTCTCCCACCCTCTCTCTTCCCCTCTCCCACCTCCTTTTCCCAGTCTCCCCCAGTTTTGTTCAATAAAGACAGATTCCATTTTGGAAGACATGTTATCTTTATTTTGTACATCAGGAAGAGGGGCTAGGGAAGGGTAAGTGGAAGGAGGTGAGGAGGAATGGGGTATGCGCCCCTGATGGGGAGGACTGGGCTGGCTCTGCGGGCTTCTGGGGATGGAAGCTCTCCTGCAGCCCCCCGATTAGCCCCTCTCCCCAGATGGCAGCCTGCGGCAATTGCAGCCGGGCTGATGGCCGAGCGGTGTGATGTGCCCAGTGTGGGTAGTCTGGGCACTCCAAGCCAGGACTGCTTTGCAAGCAGGGCACCCCTGAGAACTGTCTGTCCGGGGTGGGGGTCGGGACCCTTTAAGCACAGCCCTCGGCTAGCCTGAGACAGCAGCTCCACGCTCTAAGTCCTCATCTGATGCCCTGCCGGCACTGCTTCCGGCCATCCTTAAGCCCGGTTCAGGGTCCACTTAATGTGGACATGCTAGTTCGAATTAGCAAAACGCTAATTCGAACTAGTTTTTTAGTCTGGATCCGTTAGTTCAAATTAGCTTAGTTCGAATTAACTAATTCGAACTAAGTTAGTTCGAATTAGCGCTGTAGTGTAGACGTACCCTCTGAGACTTTCAGTGTGTAGCTTCTCTTTGTTACTCATGTAGTACTGTTACGGAATTTGAATAAAATGTTAAAAGCATGAAAGATTTTTCCTTTGTTTAGGAAGATGGATCATGGGGCTAAGAAAAAAAGTGTGTCACTTAACTGGCAAAGCTAAGCTAGTTTAATTTAATGATATAGCCATATTGACAAGTGGGGAAACAGGAGAAAACTCAAAAGAAAATTATTCTTCAGCAGGGCCCGTGTTTCTGTGTAGTAGAGGCTGCACTGGCAATTTCTCAGATGTAAGAGCCTTGCAACTATTTTGTGCAAAATGAGCTGCTTGTCTCGCAGAAGTATGGTTTGACTCTGTGTAAATGACATGCTCTTTTGTTTCTCCTTGGCTACTAAACACATGTCCTATCCAGAAGTTCTACCTCAACCCTGAAAGTCAAGCTGGGTTCTTTATGACCTGTGCACCCATACCAGCGTTCTGATTGCAGACACTCAACAGTAGGAGGAAACTGACCTTAGCTCATCCCCTCAAAGGCCTGGGCTCCAAGGGATAACAGAAGTAAACGTAATTTTTGTTTGACTGGCTGTGTGTCTGCGTTCCCCAGCAAGGGCTGTCTTTTCTGATAACCACTCTTTAGCAGAGAGGGGGGCAGGAATTACAGGGTCCAGCATTCCTCTGCTTCACATCGTGGCTGGAACTCTATAAGATTCAGTATGAAAAGGCAGAGAAATGAGGCTTAATTAATTTGTAGCGGGCACCCATAAAAGTCTGTCTCCTCTCATCCACTGCCATTTAAAAATTGCTGCCATTTTAACCATTTAATTAGGTGTTATTGGGCAACAGTCCCGTAGAATAAGGTATTAAGGCTGAATTCAGTCACAGAACCACCTCAATATCTAGTTCAGCATGAGAAGCATTACAATTAGGATATCAGGGGTGTTTTAATGGTTTTCAAAATCAAGATCTCAATGAACACAAGTCTATTTCTCATCTAGGCAATGACTGGGTGAAAAGGTGCAGTTATGGAAACACTTATTTTTAAATCCGCCTTCTCCTAGGAAATGGAACCCTTGAATAGAGGCCTAATGAACGGTTCTTCTCATTTCTAGGTCGTGTTTGATTGCATGGGGTGTTATCTCTATCTTCTGTGGAGCTTTTGTCTTTGGCCAGAGCACAACCATTGCTGTCATGGAGCTGGTCTACAGATTTTAGCTGTTAACAGGTACCCAACAGACCTCAGCAAGCTGCATACAATTTGATCCCCTACAATATTACACCCCCAGGCAGCCATGTTTGCAAAGAACAATGCATCTTCCTGGAGGACAGCATGGTTTCCAAATGACTGAGGGTGGAAGAGGTGCTTTCTCAGCCTTTTCTTGTTTATGTTCACTTCAGCTTTTTTAAAAAATAAAGATTTATTTACAGAGTTTCAACTGTTTGCTAAATCCTAGGGGACAGTTTAGGAGGAGCATCACAGATACACTAAGATCTCCTCCTACCTTTTATATATTGTTCCCGTCCAATACTTGATGGTACACGGTGGCCATAAGTTTCCTTTCATTACACCAATCACAAAGTATCAGCTGCTGGAGGAGAAAGGGCAGTCCCTGATACACCCCTCTTTGAGAGGTTACTAGCCTCTCAACTTTCAGTTTTCCCAATGGGTTATACCAGGGAAGGGGAACCTGAGGCCACGGTGCTGGATGTGGCTCTCGGCGTGCCTGGATCTGGCCCCTGAGGCTTGGGGCTCCCCCCCAGCATTGGCGAGCCTGTGCTGGTGCTTCAGCCATGCCCCATTTCCCTATGGGACTGGAGCACACAACATCTACTACTAGTCTGGGTCTCCCAAGACTCTGGTGTGTGTGGAATGTCTTTCTCCTTCTCAGTTGGGGGCACGTCAATGGGAGGGGGGGTTTGCTTCTCATTTATGTGCAGCCCCCAACTGATTTTTCTGTGGGTCTGAAGCCCCCTACCCAAAAACATTTCTCCACCCCTGGGTTATACCATTCCCATCTTATTACACACCGGGTGCGTCTAGACTGGCAAGACTTTGCGCAGCTGCTTTTGCGCAAAAACTTGCCGTCTGTCTACACTGGTCGCTTGAATTTGCGCAAGAGCACTGACTATCTAATGTAAGATTATCAGTGTTCTTCCGCAAATACTTTGACGCTCCCGCTCGGGAAAAATCCCTTTTGCGCAAATGTTTTTGAGCAAGAGGGCTAGTGTAGACAGGGACAGGAATTTTTTGTGTAAGAAAGCCCCGATGGCGAAAATGGCCGCTAGAGCTTTCTTGCGCAAAACCACGTCTATACTTGGCACAGATGCTTTTGTGCAAAAGATGTCTTTTGTGTAAATGCATCTGTACCAGTCTAGACACTCTTTTGTGGAAATACTTTTAACAGAAAAACTTTTCCGTTAAAAGTATTTCCGCAAAATCATGCCAGTCTAGACGCAGCCACCAAGTTCAAGGCAATACTAGTCCTCCATTCACACCTGGGCAAAGTGGGAGTAAAATGCTGCCCACACTGAATGGATGTGTGTGAGCACTCTGGAAAAAGGGCAGATCCTTGAAAGATCATGTTTTTTATCTTACAGAGCATATTGGTAATGCTAGAACTCATGCAGCAGGATCATTACCAGAGTTCAGCTTGTATGTTTTAATACTTGTATGAGCAAAATGAATTCATACCTGTGTCCTTCATGCACGTTACAGTTAGGGTCCGTCTATGTGACAGTTAGGGATGTGACTGGAGACAGCCTTGATGGCCTAGCATGAACAGCACTGTCTGCAGCAGAGTCTGGAGCAGGCTGTGGCTTTGCGGCTGTTGTTCTCCGAGTGAACTAGGTCAAAGCTAGCTCCGATCTGGCTGTACAGACTGGGGTCATAGCTCAGATGGCAGGTAAGACATACCGGCACTAGACAGGCACTGGCATTTCAGCTTCCGTATAAGGATACTTGAGTTCCCACCATGCAAATTAGTGTTTCTGTGCAACAGCCATGGTAACTATTTGCCAGAATTCTTCTTTTTCCACCTACCCTTGAATTATTTAGATACATTTTTCATTACAAGTTCACAAAACTACTTTCCTTTGGTTTCCCTGTTGAAGCGCAAGGAGAGATTTAGAATAAACCAGCATCATTTCCCAATTATATTTTATTGGTATCTGTATTACTTAACTGTACATATCCTAAAATTAAATTTCTTACATGTCATACATCCTACAGTGTGCTATGGTTTCAGAGCCAGATGATTTCTAACATACAGGTAGAATAATATCAAATGTTATAGTCAAAGTGAAGAAATAAGCAAGTCTGCATCCCAAAGAATTGTCTTCCCTGCTTCTGTCCCTAATAAAAACAAATACAAAATGCACCAAAGAAACAGATTGCTACTTTCTACAGCCAGAAGGCATCTATAGTACATCAAGGCTTATCTAGCATGCATTGGCGTTAGCGTGAAGGAAACTAGTTGTGGAACCAAGAGGTAGGACTGAAGGGGAGGAGGAGAAAGGCAGTTTGTTCTTTTCAGCAGCCAGAATATAAAGGAGAAACTCAATGAACAAATGAAAAATCTACACAAGGTGAAATGAGGAATCCTTTGTATCTAGTTCTAAGGCAGTGGCAGACCATCTCCTCCACTCCACCAGGAAGGCCTGGTATGCTATGCAGCAGTGAACTATTGAAACCTCAGTGAGAACTCCTGCAGCAGTACAGCAACACTCTCATTTGTTTCCTTACAAAACTGCTAGGCAAAGAAACAAACAACAGTGTTGATGATGAGACTCTTTTAAAGGAGTGCCCTGGGGCTGGCCCCTCTCCAGTCTGATCTTGTCTGTCACTCTCTTACTCTGTTCTGAAATGCTGAAGCTCTGCCAGCTGGAATCATTGCAGCTACAGCACTCCTGAAAACGAGGCCCTTTCTACGGAGGGATCTACATTTTGGCTGTCAGGTTTGAACGTTCCAACCAAGCTGTGCTATTATCCTCACTTTACTGAGGCACAAGAAGGATAAGCAACTTGCCTACGGTTGCCGAGTGAATCTGGGCAGATTCAAAACCCACGGATCCCTGCAATGGGGCTGTTGGGGACAGGAGGCAGGCAGACTCTGCTCCATTCCAAGCATGGAGGGGAGCAATTAGGAACTAAGTCAGTGATGGTGCTTGGTTCTGCCGTGAGGGCAGGGGACTGGACGCGAAGACCTCTCGAGGTCCCTTCCAGTGCTAGTGTTCTATGATTCTAGGGGTGGGGTGGGTTTTTTTTCCTTCACTTCAAACACCTGGCAAATACATTGCTGACATTCTTGGTTAGTAGTGAACTCAAAAGACATCACCTGTAACAAAGGCATTAGAAAAGACAGGAGTTTAGTCTTCTGCGAAGGGAGAGAGAATTCACTGGACAGAAAGGCAAGAGAGCCTGGAAGTGCCACTGTTCACCTTGTTGGTTTACTCCACGCTGGCCGAGGACTCAGTCTCTATTCAGAGTGCACCAGGCAGCTGCAAGAGAACAAACAGTCAATGCAAGAGTTCAGTCTCTCCCTTGAAGCTTTGTGTGGGCAACAGCTAACCCTCCCTGTGGTGGTGCTGTGCAGCAGAGCAGCAGGAGGTGGTGTCAGAGCCGGACTTCTCATCACAATTCAAACAGGAATAACTCTGCTAGCAGAACAAATCCCTCAGAGGATTTGGATCTCATCACGCAGGTAAAATATTGCTGGACAGGAGAAGAGAGTGAAATTCTAATATCGATAACTAGTGTAAATCGGGAGTGACATCTCTTAGGTTGCGCCGCAGTTATGACTGAGAATGAGCACAGAATTTGGCTGTTTACACCCACTGCTCTGTGCTGTTCTCACGGCTGAGTACCACCCTCTATGCTTATGAACAGAATAGGTCTGACTTGTCAGGGAGTTATACTGGGTGCACTGTGGGGGCCAAGGGTTACCCTCAATTGTGCTGAGTAGCATTTTATCATCAGCATAGGCTACAATGACTCCAGAGAGTATAAGGCCACACACAATCAGTCCCTCAGTGAGTGGATGGTGTGTTGTGGTGCTGCAAGCTCATTCAGTGCCTGCAATTGATATGATTTAAATATGTACCCTGGCCTCTTAACAATCAATGTGCCCTGCACAACAATAATGTCTATCGTAACCGGCAGGTCAGTAATGTTTACGTGGCGCTCAACAGAATGTACTGGGCAGGCCAGGTAATGCACAGACTGGTGCAATTCAAGGATGTAGCTCTTTTTGGCTAGGGCACAAAGCTCACTAGGAATTAAACACAAGCTCCTGCTGCGTACTTCCTTGAGGGCCAGATGCCTAAAATGGCTGGGGCAGGAGCTTTGGCAGGGGATTTGACTTTCAAGTCCCTTCAGGTGTTAAGGTGCCTTAACTGTCATTGACCTTACCTGGCACAGACACACTGGAAACTGCTTCAGGCTGAACCAGAGTGTCCACTTTCACATGCTGAAATCCTTTACAGGGAGCACTCTGCAAGTGTCTGAAACAAAGAGTGAGAAACTGTTCATTGTGGCCTGTACATTCTCCTGGGTCACAGCAGCAGAATTCTGGATTGGGGTTGCCCATTGCTACTGGGAGTTGCACTCAGGAGGGACTAACGGGGCTCAAAACAGATATGGAAGTTTGAAGGGAAATAGTTTGTTCTCTAATTTGTTGTCCCAATCCTAGCCCCCAGGGTCTCATAGAATCATAGAACTGAAAGAGAACTCAGGAAGTCATCAAGTCCAGGTTCCTGCCCAGCACAGGACCAATCCCAATTAAATCAACCAAGCCAGGGGCTTTGTGAAGCTGAGACTAAAAAACCTTTAGGGATGGAGATTCCACCACCTCCCTAGGTAACCCATTCCAGTGCTTCACCACCCTCCTAGTGAAATAGTTTTTCCTAATATCCAATCTAGACCTCCCCCACTGTAACTTGAGACTATTGCTCCTTGGTCTGCCATCCGTCACTACTGTGAACAGCCTTTCTCCATCCTCTTTGGAACCTCCCTTCAGGAAGTTGAAGGCTGCTATCAAATCCCCCCTCGCTCTTCTCTTCTGCAGACTAAATAAACCCAAATACCTCAGTATCTCCTCTTAAGTTATGTGCTCCAAGCCCCCTCATCATTTTTGTTGCCCTCCTCTGGACTTTCTACAAAGCATCCACATGCTTTCAGTAGGGGGGGGGGGGGCACAGAACTGGATGCAATACTCCAGATGTGGCCTCATCAGAACCAAATAAAGGGGAATAATCACTTCTCTGCATCTGCTAGCAATGCTCCTCTTAATACAACCTAATACTCCAGTCATCTTCTTGGCTACAAGGGCACACTGTTCACTCATATCCAGCTTCTCATCCACTGTAATTCTGAGGTCCTTTTTTGCAGAACTGCTATTTAGCCATTCAATCCCCAGCCTGTAACAATGCTTGGGATTCTTTCATCCCAAATGCAGGATTCTGCACTTGTCCTTGTTGAACCTCAGTAGGTTTCTTTTGGCCCAATCCTGTAATCTGTCTAGGTTATTCTGAACCCTATCCCTGCTGTCCAACATATCTACCTTTCCCCCTCGCTTAGTGTCATCTGCAAATTTGCTGAGGGTGCAATCCATCCCCTCATCCAGGTCATTAATAAAGATGTTGAACAAAACCGGCCCTAGAACCGATCCTTGGTGCACTCCACTGCCAACCTGACATTGAGCCTCTAATCACTACCCGTTGGGCCCGACAGTTTAGCGAGCTTTCTATCCATTTTACAGTCCATTTATCCAATCCATATTCCCATAACTTGCTGGCAATGATATTGTGGGAGACTGTATCAAAATCTTTGCTAAAGTCAAGGTATAGCACATCCACTGACTTTCCCATATCCACAGAGCCAGTTACCTCATCATAGAAGCTAATCAGATTGGTCAGGCAATTGGTGAATCTATGTTGAGTATTTCTGATCACTTTCCCCTCTTCCAAGTGCTTCAAAATGGATTCCTTGAGGATCCCCTCCATGATTTTTCCGGGGACGGAAGTGAGGCTGACTGGTCTGTAGTTCCCTGGATTGTTGTTCTTCCCTTTTTTAAAGATGGGCACTACATTTGAGTTTTTAAAGATAATGGCCAAAGGCTCTGCAATAACTGGGGGGGATTTTCATGGACATTTCCAGTATTGTGCATGCTATCAGGCTCACTTTAATCACCTTCTGTATTGACAGTTGGTGGTGTGGGATTCAGATGTGTCCACACACAATATACAGCACATGGCAGCGTTGCAGCTCTTTCACCGAGACATCTAGGAAGGCAGGAATGACTGAAAGGACAGCACATGTCTGGAGAATTTCATGGGGAGGATGGTAGGGAGAGGGGAGGAGAGGGGAGAAGAGGCAAATTACAACGGAAGATCTGTGGGGCTCAGAGGGCCGCTGGGACTGTAAACCCTGGAAAACATTTGATGCACCATGTTGGCACAGAGACTACAGTCTGACTGGAAAGAGGTGACTTATTTCATGTCAGTTAATTAGAGCAAGTTAGCAATGTTTAGAACGATGAGAAATCCATGTCAGATTTTTCAAAGAGGGCTTAATATTAGACACGTCCCATATTTAGGCACTTAAGGAAAAGCAGCGTCTTTCCAGAGAGCTGATGGAAAGTTCCTTTTGAAATCTGGTCTCTAATATTAATTGCTGGCTAGCTGGACCTTGGTTCTTACTGCTGCAATAGAGCTAGCCCTTGCCCTCCAAATTTGGACCCAAGGGGCCCAGTGACTGGACCATGCCGCAACACCCAAGCTGCTATTCGGAGCACACCGCCTCTGAGCATGCACTCCAGTGTGTCTGTCTACTGGAGCTGGGCCACACCCTTCCAACATAGCCCATGTCCGCACTTGGCCTGGGTCATCCCCTCACCTTCTAGCTGCCGGCATAATTGCCCATGAGTCACAACTGATGGGAAGAAGGCATTAAAACATTTCTCTCCCACTTCATGACACTGTTTATTTCAGTGTTTCTTAAACTTTTTGAGATGGAGGAACACCAAACAATAATTTTTTTTTAATGAGGAACACCAAGTACTTTTTGTTGAGCAAGAGGGAAAAGTTACTGACCAGAAAAAGAAAAAGAAAAACAAAAAAATAGGCCGGGGGGGAAGTTATTGAGGAAAACAAAATAGGGTCGGGGGAAAGTTATTGCGGGGGGGGGGAGGGGGAAGTCACCTGTCCCTTTAAGGGTGGCCATTTTGAACTTTGTTGTTCTCCACGGCACACCTCCAACTGCCTCGCGGCACACCAGTGTGCCACGGAGCACAATTTAAGAAACGCTGGTTTACTTCTTGGCTTATTTTATTGTGTGTCACTTTTTCTAGCTGCGCCCGCCTCCCCCCCAGCAACTGTCACTTCTGTTTCCTTCCCTGCCACTTTCCCTGCTTTCTCCCCTCGTGTCTCACTTCTCCTCCCTTCTCCCCAAATTTACTAGTCCCCTATGTCCCCACCTCTCTGCCTCCACTGTCTTTCTCTACCTCAGCACAAGTCCAGCACTGGGGGTAGGACCCAGGGCTATGGTTTTGTTTCATTGCCTGCAGTTCAAACTCCTCATTGATCAGCAGGCGGTGAAGGATTTTCACTCTCGCTCAGACCCAGGACTGGAGATGGCGCCAAGCCTGCCTCTGCTGAAAAACTACTACCAGAGCCAGTTCCACATGCAAGTCCACCCTCTAGAGCCCTGTCAGCTCAACAGGCACTGAGGCAGATTAAGGTTCAGAATGGGTTAGCCAGTGTTAGCATGTAAACCCAGGTCAGTGCTGACTCTGGGATTAAATTTAACTTCTCTTTAGAGCAGGGGTGAGAAACCTCAGGATACGCCCCCCCCCCCAGCTTGCCTGCATCTGGCCCCCATGGCTCAGGGCTTCCCCCAGTATTGGGGTACCCGTGATGGTTCTCCAGCCCCTGTGGGGACAGGAGAAGGCCAAAGCTCTGCTGTGTGAGAGGAATGCGGGGTGTGTCTTTCTCCTACTCAGTTGGGGGTCACAGCACTGAAGGTTTGTTTTGTTTTGTGCTTCTCATTTCAGTGTGGTCCCCGACTGATTTTTTCCATGGGCCAGTTGCCCCTGACCCAAAAAAAGGTTCCCTACCCCTGCTTTAGGAACTATTGAGATAGATGCTCTGGGTGACCTCTACTGTACAGACTCAGCCATTGCAATTAGAGCTTTTGAATTAAGGGATCAAACAGTCCTCATATGTTGCAGCAGAAATGCACTTGTCACATCCACCAAAGCCCTGGAGAAGTGAAGAAATCAGTTCTCCTCCACTAGCAGCTGCTTTTTGTTTTTGTGTGTGGTGTTCTGTGCCAGAATGGCAGGATAAACAGGTACATTCACTCATTGCAGGGGCCAGGATTTCAACTTTAATAATTTCTTGATCTTTTGCTTTCACAGCCCAGGGATTAAGCTGAGCCTTCATGAAGGGCCAGCTGACACCAGTGGAACATTTCTCAACAATTCCATGCTTTGCCATATGCTCAGTGGCATGGTTACTGCAAAAAACCACTGCAACCTTTAGCCTTAACGTCTCCCTGCAGCTTGCCTGACACATGCTGGAAAAACTTGCCAGCTGTCTACACTGGCCGCTTGAATTTCCGCAAGAACACTGACGATCTCATGTAAGATTGTCAGTGTTCTTGCGGAAATATTATGTTGCTCCCGTTTGGGCAAAAGCCCTCTTGCGCAAATGCTTTTGCGCAAGAGGACCAGTGTAGACAATGTGGTATTGTTTTGTGCAAAAAAACCCCGATGGTTAAAATGGCGATCAGGGCTTTCTTGTGCAAAACCGCATCTAGATTGGCACGGACACTTTTCTGCAAAAAGTGCTTTTGCGGAAAAGCGTCCATGTCAATCTAGACACTCTTTTCCGCAAATGCTTTTAACGGAAAAACTTTTTACCATGGGACTATAGTAACTCCCGTGTCCCTAATTATGCATGCTGGCCTTCTTTCCAGCCTAGTGTGCCTCTTGCCAGAGCTAGTACTGTAGCTACAGCATGCATGGGAGGCCTTATAGGAAAGTTCTGGCCCTCCTGCCTTGCCCCTGTGCCCCCTCCTCTGCTGCTCCTCTCATGGCTGCCCCCACAGTGACTCTTGGCCTCACCCTGTGCCTCCCCAGACACCTACCCTTCCAACCTGCTTCCACAGTCTCTTCAGCACTCCCCCCCCCTGGTTCCCATTGCCTCCTCCAGGCAGATACAGAGGCGACCCCTGGGCCCACCATGTCCCCCAGCCCTACGGCTGCTGGCCCCTACTGCTTTTCCATTCCTCTCCTCTCCCTTCCCTTCCATTCCTCCCTAAGCTCCCTTTGCACACCCCAGGCAGGGGCACTGAGGCAGTTTAGCTTGGATGTACCTGAGCCACTCTCAGCCTACCTCCCTATCTCTTCCACTCCCCCACTGGGCTGACAACCCAGTGGTACTTCCCTGTTTTTTGAGGCCCCACCATGTGAGGCTCAGCAGGAGTGCTAGGGCCAGGTCTT